TTTGATTTCTTGAAATAATCCTGTAGCATTTCTTACCCTTCTGAGCTTAACTTCCTCTATTTCATTAATTTATTTCCTTGAAAACATTTATTTTTCCTAGTATGAACCATATACTACTAGGTAACAGGACACAAAAATAATTAAATCAGTACTGCGGTCATGGAAATATATTGATGAGACAAGCAATCTGAACAGGTATATTTTCAAATTATTTTACTCAAACCTGAAGATAATCTACTACATCTATTATTTCTAGACATAGTTAAAAAGCACATTAACAAGTTTTCGAATATATTTATTATTTCTAGATTTTTAAAATCATGTATCCTCCAATATAAATTTCCTTTTTCAAGGAGAACAAACCCTGTATTTTCAGCTCCTTGATATGGAAGACATCCTGTCTTTGGAAAGTGCTTTTTCTTAAAAAAAAAAAAAAAAAATTCCTTCTCTTTTTGTAAGGTATGGTCACCTATTTGAACTGTATTTAAAATTCTAGGCTATGATTTTGGTTTTTCTTTTTTTCTTTTTTTTGAGAGTTTAGTATTTTCTGATAAGCATTTGGTGATGTACAATATACTTGGACTTTTAGGCTGACACATAAGATTAGGTTTAGAGCCTCAAACAATAATGACTTCAGTTTCTTCTTGTGGCATTTGTCCATGGTAAAGGCCCTGTATCTTTCAAATATGTGACTTTATCTCCCAACTATAAGCTTGTGAATTCTAGATCAGTGCATAGTATATTTTCATTTATGTCACATTGGGCAGATAATAAAAAGTACTTCACCTTCTTTTCTGTGCACATTATTCATTCAGGATTCTGTACCTTAGTGAATGCATCACGATCTGTACAGTTGATGTGCCAGTTTTCCAGCTTCTTCTAAATTATCTTGAGATATAAGAGAGCAAGGGGCTCTCCCCCATGTAAATGTCAAAGTCTTGCCATTTTTACCCCTAAACATTTTACCCGCCATATTTTAGCAGTCATGTTTTGTATCTGGCGCTCCTTGTCTCTTGCCTAAGTTATTGCCTGGTCTCCCTGACGACAGTTTCGTTTTTTTCTAATCTATACAAAAGGCCACTGTTTGGGAAATCTTTGAAAATACACACTTGAGCTATTGCTCACACAGTTCTTTAGCATGGTACGTGAGGCATCTGTTCCTTTCCAATGCGATTCATCATTTCTGCTCAGATTCTCGACTTTTTTAGAGCCACCTAGAGTGGTGTGCTTGGACCTTGCCCTCTTATACCCCAAGCATGTGTTTTCTAGTTACTTTGTCTTGCATTATTCATAGATTTAACTTATACATGTTGTTTAAGATCCACCTCCTCTGATAAATTTTCTTTGATACCCTCAAGTTGAGGGGCTTTCCTCTGTTGTATGACTAACTCCCATGTAAATTTGTTTTCCTGACTAATCTATATACATTGTCTATCTTGATTTCCCTAACATTTAGCACAATGCCTGATGTATCTATAATAACGGCTCATCAATATTGTTGAATGATTGAATTAACTGATAGCTTACAGCCCTCCATTTTTATATTCTGTGATCTTTAAAATTCCTAAATATGTTTTGTTCTCTTGCCAGGGCTAAGACTCATATGTTGCTTCTCTACCCACTTTCACAGACTTCTAAGGTCTTTTAAAATCCCATCTGTGTGCTTCTTCATCAGCTGGAAACGTTTATGTCTCCTTAAATAGGAAATTTCATGTGAGCATTTTATTCTGAGCATTTTGAGAAAGATACTAAATAAGTCCCGAAGGAAGGGAATTCTTATTTCTTCTTCCAGGGAAATCACTAATTGACTCTACCATTTAATACCTATTTGGACTGTGTTTAAAATTTTGAGATAAATAGACAAACTGTGGACCTTCAAACCCATGGTATCATTGGTTAAAAGAAAATAAAACAAATACAAATATCACCATAACCTTTTGCTCAGAAGGATGGAGTTCATTACTTTCCCCTTTATCTATATAGTCTATTATTTAATATTAATTGATACTTATAAATAAATCTATATCCTTTTCAAATGTCCTTTAGGAGAAATGACCTTGCCTTTTCAATTTCCCACTACCCAAAATCCATAACCTGCTGTTCTTCTCCTTATCAGTTGCCCTAATATTATTTTTGTTATATTTACTGAAGCTGTCCTTTATCACAAGCTTTGTTTTGGTTTGCTATTTGAGTTATCAGTGCTCATTAAGTATTCTTTAATTGCCTTGGGCAGAGATAACAAAGCATAGGCTCAAAAACCAAAATATATTTGAATGTTTACAATTCCAAAGTATGCCATTAAAGTTACCACAATTTACAGTCAGATATAGTTAGACACTATTACAGTAAAAGAAACATTTTTTAACTTTAGTCTTCTTTGTAATAATATATGTTCATACTTTTGCTTTACAGAAACTAAGAAACTACCTGAATGCTGACCCTGCTATTCTAAGTAAAGAAGTATAATGTATGATTTATTTCAGATGGAATTATTAATAAGTCTTGATTATACATTAACATGCAGAAAATTTTTGTAAGCTCTTTCTTTATATTTATACTTATTATTCCCCTGAGGAGTTGTGCATATTTTTGAAATGTTAAATTATCCTCTAAGTCACACTGAGACAAATGTAGTACTATATAATTTTGGTGGATATGAAAATCATTAAGACCACCACAGAACAAAAACAGTACACCAAGTTTGATAAATTTAAGGAATAAAATACTTCTGCATACTTTCTATAATTTTCTACTATAATTTTCAGGTTTATTCCATTTCTGATGTGCTACTTTATCTTGTGAGAGTTGGCAGTATGTCATTATCATTTCAACAGATGGAAAAACAGACATTGAAGAGTAGAAGACTTACCCAGTTCATAGTGCTAATAACAGTGTTGAAACTAGAACCCAGACCAGGAATATCAGGGAAAATCATAACAAGCCAAGAAAACCACAAAGTGTTTTCTTGGGTAATTAGTGAGTATGAACAGTGGCTTGATAGCTACTTCTGTCTTCCCTTCATCTTGAAAAGAAGTTAATCCTTCTTAAAGCCTGCATGAAGTAGCAGGCAGCCTTTATTTCCAGAAAGGAAGGAACTAAAAATATAGTATTGCAGCCATTTATTAACCACAGGCAACATTATCTGGAGGTAGCAGTTTTGTGAAAAAGCATGGGATTTGCAATCAGAAGGCTTGAGTTTACATCTTAATTCCTTTATCAGTCTCTTAATCTCTTTATGCTAAATGTCTATTTAGTTAAAAAGGGCTAATAACAGCTTTGCTGCATAAAAAGGTATTGCGATGATCAGTAAGATATTTTAGAGAATTGCTTTATGAACTTTAGGTCATAAAAATACAAGTCCTCATCGGTGTATAGCAAATCAGGGACGTCTTTGTTGTGAAGGAAAAAGTGTATCATAGTTATTGGACTCCATGGCTTACCAGCCACACTGTTGGGTTACAATACAACAAATGCCACTGTCTATATCTGTCACTTGGTTAAGATACTTTGTGCCTCTAACCTCGGGTTTTCTCATCTTTAAATGGACAACAATATCATGAGTTTTTATAAGGCTTCTATGAGATATCTATGGGATGAATAATATTAAAGTCCCTTGAATTAGTTTCCTTTAAAACAAACATTTTATTTACATTAATAATTTTAGACTTCACTTTCTATAGAAAAGTTGCAAAGATAGTACAGTTTCCCATGCCTTCTCCTTCTTTCCTTCACTGTTAATATCTTATATTTGCCACAGTGAACTAACATTGATGTAGTCTCACTAGTTAAACTCTAGACTCTATTTTGATTTTACCTTTTTTTCCATAAATGTCTTCTTCTGTTCCAAGATCCTGTCCAGAATACTACTTTGCATGTCTCACATTCTCCTTTGATAGCTTATCAATCTTCTTGTTTTTTGTGACCTTCACTGTCTTGAGATATTGCCCAGGTATCATGTTCCCAATTCTGGTTTTGTTTGTTATTTTTCTCCTTTTAGTTTGGGTTTGTGAGTTTTTGTAAGGAATACCACAGAGTGAAGTGCTCTTCTCACACTTTATCAAGGGGTGCATGATACCCTGTGACATCATTGGTGATGTTAACTTTCATCACTTGGGTAAGGTTGTGCTAGCCAGGATTTTTCACATTTTATGGTAGCTTTGATCAGCTGTCACTTATATAGTATTTATTATTCTCTATCTTCCCACTGTTTGGAATATTTTTCATTTACATTTACTGTAAATGTCATCTCTGCAGAAATACCTCCTCTGACTATTCAAGCTAAAGCAATTTTCCCCTCTCAAATCAATCTTTGTGACATTTCATTTTGTTTTTTCACCTGTGTATTTGTTTAATTAGCTTATTTTTGTCTATCTGTCCCTTCCCCCTCAAACGTGAACATAAGCTTTAGGAGAACAAGGTCCTTGTAGGGCTGTTCACATCTGTACACTCAGCATCTAACACAAGGTCCAGCATATGCTAAGTGCTCAATAACTATTTGTTTGAAAAATGTCAAAGAAATATCCAGGATTAATTTATTAGTAAGTCTTTATGAGAGAGTGGAAAATCACTGAATGGTAGGTGGTACAATTTAGTATTATTAACTCATTTGGTTTAGTTTTAATGAAAAGGTTAAATGCAATCATCAACATCTGTGGAAATAAGTAAATAGCATCCTTGTAAATTCAAGCTCTCTTGTAATATACTTAATAATGTGAATGCCAGAGTATTTTGTTATGAATGACAAATGTAAGATCTACTCAGTTATTGAACATCTGCATCAGTGTGACCTTTATTTGCTAATTGGTTCAGCTTTTCTGTTATAGAACTTTTAACTGATTCTGAAGGAGTGTAGAAATAATTGATTCTCCTGGTTTTAATTTATAGCTGACTTCTTAGTGTCTATTATCTTTTCATTTATATTGTGAAAAAGATGGAGTTTCATTGTATAGGTCTTTCTACCATAACATATTCACAACCATTCTTTTTATCTCCCTCCTTAGGACTTAAAATCCCCAAATCAGAGGGATGAAATCGCAGGAGCCCGGGCCTCACTGAAGGAAAACTCCCCCCTCTTGCATTCAATTTGTTCAGCTTGTTTGGAACATTCTGATGTTGCTTCTCTCAAAGCCAGCAAGAACACAGTATGTGAAGAAATTCAGAATGCCCTCAATGTAATTTCAAATGCTTCACAAGGCATCCAGAATTCACTCACCCCACCAGAACCTGAGGCGGCAACCCTTGGAAGTGCCCTTGATGAGCTTGAGGTAAGTAGAGAAGAAAATAAGATGTGATTTGCTGCCCTGACATGAAAAGGAACGGGTTTTCAGGTTCATGCTTTAGAATTTGAAGTACGAGTAAAAATGGAGTTATTTGATCGGTCTCTGTCATCATCTTGTGTCTTCCACTGATTGATATCGGTAGAATTCTGATTCCTTTACATGTTTGCCAAGAAAAGAAATGAATTTACATTGGGATTGTTGATTAAGTGGAAATTATGACTTGACTTTACACAGATAAATTTAAGAAATGTTGGATTCATTCACTCCTAAAATACAATAGTATTTGTCCTTGAGATATAATCAGTTACTGATTTTGTGAATTTTACATTCTAGCTGGGGAATATGCAGAAATCATTCATAGTAGATTTTTAGATTTTTTGTAGATAAGTAAAGGATGTTACACTAAGGTGTTATCAAATGCTTGAAGGAAGCTACAGAATTGGATAGATGGTGATCTAGAAGAGACTTGAAGCTAAGTCCTGTGCTAAAGTGACAGCACAGACACCAGAATGCTTGCATGCAGAGAGTGAAGGGATGAGTAGTAGGATCTCAGGTCAGAGATCCAATGGGGCCAGTTTATGGAAGATAGGATGGGCTTTTAAGGACTCTGACTTTTACTTCAGTAGAAAGTAAAAGTAAAAAACCAAAAAAGTAAAAGTAAAAAACCATTGTAGGGTTTTAAACCAGAGGTGTGACTCTCTGAAAGTTGGTTCTTTAAAGGAACTACAGAGGATTCCCAAATTGTTCCTCCTCTGGGACTTCCCATTTTGTTGTAAGTGACTCGTACATGCAAGAAATTGTAGTGGTTGGAGAGAGAGAGAGAGAGAGAGAGAGAGAGAGAGAGAGAGAGAGAGAGAGAGAGAGAGAGAGAGAGAGAGAGAGAGAGAAAGAGAGTATTTAGCTTTAATGAAAGTGGGTATAGGCATAGTTAATTTGTGTTCCCTTTCAAGATATGTGGTAGACTCGTTTCTGAACAAAAAATATTTCCCTAAAATCCTAATACCGTAGTAAAAAAAATTCAGTTCCAGTCAAAGGTAGGGGTACCTAAACTAGTAAAAATGCATGGATTTTATACATTTTTTATGTTAGAGCTTCAAATAGCTACTGAGAATGTCTGAATGAGATAAAATAGGATTTATTGAGCATTTAGCCATCTAAAATGATTTTGTAAATTAAATGTTTGCATTTTTATTTATTTACATGGTGCTGTATTGGTAAAGGATCCAAAATAACCTTTACTCTATCTTGCTTCTGCAAATATAATACTATGAAATAAATTGTAGTAAATACTCTGTTGGGAGTAAATCTCATTAAATGTTTATAGTGTGGAAATGCATCAGAGTGCTTACTCAACAAATACCATGCTGAAGCTTTGTTAAATCTTTTGTTCTGGTCCATGACTGGTTGTGGATGTGAAGCTTGAGATATATTAATGGAGAATATAGAAATTGAATTGGAACACTGTATAGGCTAAATTGATAGATTTACTGCAAAGACTAATATAAATTTCAGGGTGCTCCTTCTGTACTTGTGACTGAATGAGGTTTGAAAAAATTCAAATTGTACATTAACAAAATGTTGAAAATGTCTTCAAGGAAGAAAGTTTGCAATGAAAATTACATTGAAATCTTAAGTCCATTAAGTCATATTTTCTCTTAGGAGGAGGGAAAAAACAGTAGTTCATTATGGTCCACAAGAATTACCCAGATCCTCTTGTAATAAAGATGATGTAACAAAGGAGATATATGCAGTATTTCCTCCTTTTCAAAGAGCTGTCATACATGTTTTCCTTTTAAAACATTTTTATTTATATATCATCAATATATTTAGGTGTTGTATCACCGATACCTAGAAAATTCCGTTGTATATAGTAAATGCTAGGTGGATATCAATGGATAAATGTAGGAAGGAGAGACGGTATATAGAAATGCTACATGTCATTTTGTGATTTTGGAGAGAAGAACATTTTTCCCTTACCCCTGATTTTTCTGTAAGTAGTAATCTATGTACTTGGGTAAAATGTACTTTACCTAACTTTTAACTAAACCATGCATTTAGAGTGAGGGAAACTTTCAGAAACTTGTTTGCACAGCACATCACTTAGATATTTCTATGATCAGGAAGTACAAATAGAAAAAAAAAATAACCTCTTCTCTCACTAGATATCTTGCCTTAGTTTAGGTTTCCTGGAACTGCCAAGATATGCTGCCTTTTACTAAGAGTTATAATTTTGAAAAATGTAGATTCCTTTGTCATAAACTGTTATGTAAAAGTGGGATTGTTTCTGGACCCTTGATTCTATTCTAGTGGCTTGTGTCTGTTTTCATTCTAATACCATACTGTTTTGGTTGTAGCATTTAGTATAGGTTGAACCCTGGGAACATAATACCTCCATTCCTCGTTTCTTGTCAAGAATGCTTTCACCATTTGGGGTCTTTTGTGATTCCATATACATTTCAACATGTTTGCTTTTTTTTTTTTTAATTCCATTGAAACTTTGAGAGAGATTACATTGAAAGTATATTTTACTTTGGGTAAGATGGACATTTTAACAATGTTCATTCTTCCAATCCATGAATATGGGCATTTTTTCTATTAACTTTTATCTACTATTTCTTTTAGCAGTGTTTTATATTTTTCATTGAATTAGGTTTTCACCTCACTTGTTAGGTTAATACCTAGGTATGTAGTACTTTTTGACTTTTTGATACTACTGTAAATGGGATTTTTAAAAATTTCTTTCGCTTCTAGATCATTATTTGAATGCAGGCATTAAGCAGACTTTTGTATGCAGGTTTTGTAACTGGCCATTTTACTGATTTTTGTTTGTGATGGGTTTTTAGTGGAGTCTTTGATGTTTTTAATGTATATCATCATGTCCTTTGTAAATAGTGATAGTCACTTTTTTTTTTCCTTTTGGGCTCCTTTGATATCTTTCTTTTGCCTAATTGCAAAAGGGTCTCCAATACTATGTGTTTCAATACTATGTGTTGAAAAAAGTGGGGAGCGGTGATATACTTATGGTGTACTTGATAATAGAGGAAAATTTTTCTTTTTCTTATCATTGAATTGATGCTACCTGTGGGGTTAGCATCTATGGCCTTTATTGTGTTGAAGTATGTTATGTCTATCCCCATTTTACTAAGTTTTTATAATGAATTGAAGCTGAATGTCATGAAATTCCACCACCACATCTAATATTAGATGATTTTTTTCTTTGCTTGTTTCTATGGTAATGCATTAATTGATTTGCATATGTTGGACCATCCTTGCATCCCTGAATTTGATAATGATGCATGAATTTGATAATGATGCATGATCCTTTATTATTCTTTTAAAGATTATGCATAAAAGAACTGGGGTACAGGCCAGAGGTATGGGGGTTGAGAGGATTCACCAGAAACAAAGAGGGGGATAGAACAGGTAGATCTACTGAAATACATTGCTGAGAGGAGCAGCTGGCAAGGCAGGAGATGTCTGCTGTGCCATGTGGGTTGCTCTCTGGCCAGCAGGGAATCGAACTTGTGCTGCAGTGGCTGGCGATAGCTTGATAGTGCTGTCTTTAACCCTTGCACCACCAAGGAGGCCCCAGCTATTTACTTTAAACTTATGTTTAACTTTGGAACTCAGGTGTATTACTGGAGACAACAGAAGGTTGGTTTTCGTTTTCTAATCCAACCAACCTCTATGTGTCTTTTGATCGATGAGTTCAGTCCATTTATATTTAGAGAGATTATTGATATATGAGCATTTGATACTGCCATTTTCTTTAGTTTTCTGACTCTTATTTTATCGTTAAATTTTTTTGTTGGTTTTCTTTGTTTTGATTTAGGTAGTTGTGCTCCTCTCAACATTTCTTGTTGGGGTGATCTAATGTTTGCAAACTCTTTCCACTTTTTGTTTGTCTTGGAAGACTTTTATTTCCCTCTTGTATCTGAAAGAAAGTCTTGTAGGATTTAATATTCTTGGCTGGCAGTTTTTATTGTTGAGCATTTTGAATATATTGTTCCATCGGAATGCCTGCTGTGCTATATCTTTATCAGGAGTCCAGCCCATGTGGGACACCTTTGGTGACACTTTAATTTGGTGATTTCTTATATTTTTATAGGACTGGCAGAAATCTGCACACATGAATATACCATTAAAGACAAATAGAAGAACTGAATGGAAGTTAAGTCATATTTGGGCCAGTTATGTCAATTTTATTGAACAGTAATCAATGTACTTTGTTTAGTTCAAGAGCTTATAAATTCAACTTTATTAGCAGCAATTAGTATATCCCACAGTACATGTATGGGGCAGAGGGAAATGTACTTTTAGGTCTAAGTGATTTGCCTTAAAATACTATTTTGATATTTTCTTCCTTTAAAGAGAGGTTTAATAATGCTCTTTTTCTGTAGTAATGGAATAAGAATTCCCAGATCATGTTCCTAAATACTGTATTTTAGTCTCCATAGCAATTGAATGATAGCTGATCTAGCCTGAAAACCAATTTGGAGCAACTATACTGTATCCCAAACTGAGAAATTTAGACTTCACTTAGTGAGTAATGTTTGAGTAGGGAAGAGATAAAATCAAATTGATGTGAGGTTTGTCAACTGTGGTGTGAAGATTACTTTCAGGGTTAGATGAATCTCTGTGAGAAGAATCAGGAGACTTTTGTAATATTTCTGGTAAGAGATAATGAGGACTAAACCTAGAAAGGTTGAAATGGAAAGGGAAAGAATAGATCTGAAGATGGATGAATTGATAAGTATAGTGATTGTAAAGGGTAAGAAAGGGGAAGTGACCCAAGAAGACTGTTTTCAAATGCACCTATATTTGGAAGAATGGTGGCATCATATTCTCAATAAGAAGATGAACAAAGTTGGGTGAAGAAAAATATATGAAACAAGGGAAACAGTAAAAAATAAATTATTGCCATCTAAATATTCAATTTTTTTGCAGTAAGTATTAGGGGATTCGTTTGAACACAAATACATATG